TTTTTTTTTTTTTTTTTTTTTTTTTTTTTTTGCGTTTTTTGGTGAGTTTTTTTCTGTTCGTTTTGATGTGGACTGTAGTATTATTAGAAGTTTCGTTTATTTTTTATTTTTTATCTTTTTTGTTGCTAGCAGACAATATTCGTCATATTTGGGCCTTATACATCCTCGATTTTTTTCTCTTTTGTGGTCATTGTATTGTCGCCGCTTTTTTTTCTACATATTTCGTTTTTTTCTTTTTTATGCTGAAAATGAAGTCAATTTTTCGCAATATGAGCAATGTAATTGTATTTGTGTTTGTGTTTGTGCATAAATTATATATTTGAAGAGGAAAGAAAAAAAAAATGAAATTTCTTTGTTTTTTGCTTTATGTCAGGCTAAGGAAAAAACCAAATTTGAGTAGGTTAAAGCAGATTCAGGTTCAAGAAAAAAAAAATAATGGATAACAAGAAACATCTTTTTCGTATCATCTTTTTTGTTGTTATATTTCATGAAGCAACTACGTAGTCAACGATAAAAATGGCTGAAATTTATGTCTCATAGGTTTATCGCCACCAATAGCTAGCATCTTTCTGATGACGGTCGTCGGTAACGGTGTGTAATCAGTGTTCGGCTTAATAAAGTGATGCAAAGGCTTTGTTGCATACCTCTTTTGACGGCACTGTTTTAGTGGTGGCTGCTTATTCAACTTATCAGTAGTCAGTCGGATCTGTGTGATAACAATACCCATTTTACCGAATATATAGCGCTTAATTTTCTGTTCCATTTGGCTGCGGGTTTTTTATCTGCATTTTAAAGCCTTGCGCCTTCAGTTCATCTTTGCACGTCTCAGGCTTGTATGATGTTCAAGCTTCGGTTTACGGTGGGAATATACACCAAGAAAGTGAGTGGTCATGACGTGGTGTATTGATTTCTCGATGATGATAAAAATTACAGAGGTTTAGTTGCTGCAGCTGAAGCAAATGTATTGTTACTTGCATACCAGTGTAAATTTGTGCTGGCATGTTCAAAAGTTATCTGCAAAGATGAAGTGTGACCTCACTTGTATTTGAACGTTTTCTATTGTAAACAAGTTGTTTGCTTGGTAACTCATTTCCCACTTGAACGGTTTCGTGAAACAAGTTTAACGGTCACTTATTGTTAATAGAACAGATTTTTTCCAACAACTGTCAATCTGATTATTTGGTTATAGCAACATGTTTGCTATTTGGTGCAATTTTTATTCGAAATAAATAAGGGTATTCTATCAAAATGAAGTATAATAAACAATCCAGCTCTTACAGGTAGCGCGAATTTATTGAACATTGTTGCAGCATTCGGGTATGGGCAAGAGATCTACTGGAGATTGCTGCTTTCTTTACTATTCAACTTTCCAGATTCTTAGAAGTATCATATACTTCGTGGCAAAATTGTGAAATATTGCACCTAAGAATTTGGACTGCTTCACGGCACTGTTCAGTTCAGAGCAAAACTTGTCAAATGGAGCTTTACAGTACATCCGCTCAGGAAACTACAGTTATTGATACACCAAGCTGTTTGTTATTCAGTTCGCTTTTTTTTCGGATGCTGGCAGTTTTTGTTGTTTAAAGTATTTTTGTATGAGCTATTGAGTGATGTTTCTGTAGAGCAGATAAAATTGCTTATAACTCTCTGGCTTTTGAGCGTAGTTGCAGTCTTCACAGTTTCCTTTATTGTGGCACGAACAAAAATCATTCTGGAAAAGAAGCATATTAAGATTATTGCACTTTTGAATATGATGGGAAAACTTCTAAAGGTTCTGCTTCTTATCAACTTTACTTCAGTCTCAAAAAGAATGAAGATAATTTTGAGAACAATAACGCTAGGTTTTTAATGGTAATCGAGAGTTTACAGCGAACTTGTAAAAAACACATTCTCTCATTTCACTGGACGTTCAGGTGTATCAGGTGTTGAAGTTTGTGGTGAAAGCAGCACAAGGAATAGAAAACATAGATGCACTATTTTTTATTCGTCTATCTAGAGCAGTGGTGTAATGGAAGGTTTTTGCAGTGGTAAGATGTGTTTCTGCATCTCGTAGAAAATCGACTTTTTTTGTGATCAGATGCAGTCCCTTAGACGTCGCTAGGTCGTGCTGCAAACACCTACAGGACTGCTTTAAAAATCGAAAAGTTTTGATGGTAATATCTATTTCAACATTCATTTAAGGTCAAGTTTACAAGTAGATAGATATTTTCTAATGTATTCGTGTTAATAGTCACTGTATACAGCCATTATGTATTTATCACCTAGCTTACGGTGCCCTTTGATTGCTTTGGTGCCGTCACTGTTTATATACAAGACAAATGTTTTATGCACTAAAAGTTCTCGAAGGTCAGTATTGTTAACATCAGTTGATTTTATTTCCGGATTTTCCTTGAGAAGTTTTTGCTACAGATGATCTGGTAAAGTTAAAACCCTGACAGATCTGAAAAAAAATTAATCGAAAAGCCTCCTCAGTCATTTCTTATTATTGATTGGGTGTTGGTAATTTTTTTCCATTTGTGATAGGCTTTCATTTTAAGCAGACATATTGCTAACTAGCTCCTGCTGCTTGATTTTCTTAAACTTCGCCGTACTGCTGTCGGGTGTTTATGGAAGCTCTGAATTTAGAGTTAAGACTTTGTCAAGTTTCTGCCAGACTGTAAATCTAATTGTCTCTTAAATATGTCTCAAAACTGTTTAGATAGATCGCTGCATTAACTTGAAAACAACAGAGCTTTTGTCAGTTGACAAGAAGCTGCTCTTCAGATATATAGGGGGTCGTCAAACTACTAGAGGTTGAAAATCAGTTTGGCATTATCGTTCTTTTTTTTACAGTTGAATTAACAGATTTGTCTTTTGTTTAGTGTAGTGGCGGTAATTTAAGCAGAAAGTGTGTAGTGGCGATATACTCTTCATTTTTTCAGTGCAACACTTAACCTGAGGAATGAAATTTGCTGGGCATGATCAATTGTTAAATGTTTTAACCAAAAGCTGAATACTCCTATCTTTTTGTGCTGCTAAAAAACTGCATTTTTTAAAATTACTTCGATGGATAGTATAGGTGATAGTGAAGACAATTCCTTATAAGAAAAATTTCCCCGGTGACTTATCGCAATTTTTTGAAGCAGGAAATTATTTGTGATGATTCACAATGAAGAGTTGGACAACAGATTTAATTCTGCTGCAACATTAGAGGCTGATCAAAGGTTGAAAGAGCATGAGACCTTTAAGTATAAAATTTCGGGGCTGACAGTCAAAAATTGAAAGAAACAAGAGTAGAATTCAAATTAATTTCAGGCAAAGGTTTGAAAGTGGAAAATCCAGTAACTATTCTTTGCTAGTTAGGTGATGAAACTGTTCCATAGTTTATGTTCCATCGCAAAATTTTTATAAAGACACTTTGAAGGTGATCGAAAACTTATCTTACTTAATGATTCAATGACAATATAGCTATTTATTTGGTCTTTAATGGGAAATTAGTTATAGTTTATACTTTTTCAACCTGTATCACAGACTCTAGAAATAAAGGTGAAATTTATTAACTAGCAACAACTTTAACATACTACGACAAAAGTTAATAGCTCAGTCTAAATAATTTAAACAATCTATCGACAACTAGGACAGCATAATACAAAACGGCCAAACGTTTGGCAACATTGCAGTTTTAGATTATTGGTAACGTTAATAAGATTCCAGGGATTTTTGGCAGCTGCAGTACACGGTTTGGTGCTAACCTCCTTTGTCTGTTCGCATGGTTATTTAGAATCTTTTTTACCGAGCTGCTTTATATCACTTTCTTCAGTTTCCACTTCAGCGTTCAATTCTTTGTCTGTTGTCGACTTTTTATCATTTGCTTTCGCAGCTTCGTTTGCCGGATCGCCACCAGTTATTGATGGGTATCTTTTTTTGCCCGAAAGATCATAAGTAGTCCTATCTGTCTCCGTGTCTAGTCCTTTGTAATAGGCTGAGTATTGGAAAGGGTGTGGGAACGTCGGAGATAATGGAAACGGTTGGGATAATGGCGGAAGAAGTGGTTGCGGTAGCGCTGGAAATGGTTGTGTGGGATAAGGAGCCGGACCAGGAAATGATGTTGGAGATGGAAATGGTAGTGTCCCAGATAAAGGAGGTAGTAAACCAGGAGTGAATGGATTACCGAAGGGGAACAGGGGGTTTCCGAAATTTGGGTATATATAGGATTGCCGTTGTTGAATTATTCCCGCACTTTTTATTAATTTAGCTTCATTGTCACTTATATACGATTCTATTGAAGAATTTTGTCGTTCTTCAAGCTTTCTTTCGGGTTCCACAATTAAATTCTCTAGCCGAACGACAGAAGTAAACAGTTGGACGGGAAAGATTAGTAACAGAGAAAAACACGATATTAACAAGAAATTCATGCTGAAGGAGACTGCTCAGGGCTTTGTAAGGCCGTTTTTATACCTACGTTCTTCGCCGTTACCGTAATCGGAAACACGCCTTTAATTAATCCGGAATGAATATTTGGTCGTGTTAGAAGGTTTTTAAACACAGTGCTTAGTTATTGTAATTAGGTACCTCTGCGATCAAAGTGGAGAAGGTTATTCATTGTTGTTGTTTGGCAATTTGAAATCTGAAGAGATAATGCATACACCGGTACTCTTCAATAACTGCTTTTAAGAAAAGATAATTTGAATATCTTACCCGAAAGATGTTGAAAATGTATATGTCTTCAAGCGAACATTTTCAAAATTATATGTAATGACGACGCTTTTAATTTTTTTAACAAAAGAAACAAAAACTGGCTTTATAAGGGCTTAATTGAAAAGCTACATGGAAATGGTATTTTTTAACAGCTGTATTCAGTAAAAGGGAGAAATCTGGCACACTTTGATACATAACCTAACTGGTTTGCAATGGCTAGATAATATCAGAACTGACGAGGTCTTTTTAATTGGTTTTATCTAGAGATTTTGGAAAGGTAGTATTTATTCGTTAGCTTACAGCATACTCTTTTGAAGGCTTAAGACTTGATAACAGAGAACTGGGTACTGAAAGATACCAGATCTTCTTATGAGTAATTACTCATGTCATTTTTAAAACACTGACAAAAAGTGGTAATCTGGATGTGGATTAAAATGACACATAGCATACGCTGCATCAGTAAATTCCTAATCCAAACGGGAACAGTCATCACATAGCTATTTTTTGCACAGGCTCTGAGTTTCAAAAAACAAAATTTAGCTTTGACGCAGGGAAGTGAGGACCACCTTTCAAAAATTTTTAAAAAAGCTACTATTTGTGAAAATCGTTATGCGCAAAATAATTAATTGCCTTATGGGAAGCTGGCTAGATTGCATGGAACCGATAAAGATCTATACTCAACAGCACCTTCTTGAATTTGGTGTAAGGTTTTGATTCAAGAAATTATGTAGAGTTCAAAGATTTGGATTTCTGAACTAAATACCATTGTTTTATGAATGAAATATTGCTTTAAAAAGCTGCAGAAAACTTTGGTGGTTATAATACAGTGAAAAATATGTCCGCTGTAGTTGTTGGCCTAAAGATTCGGTGTAATGTCCAGCATATTCATCTTTATAATTTAGTGATAAATTCTGAAAGTGATAAATTTTAATTTATTGACTGTAAAGTAAATGATTCGTTGTGACTTCAAATAATATTTATTGCACTAATTAAAAATAGCATAAGGCAAGTTAATGTTTTTTATATGTCAAAAGGAAAAAATAGCTTAACCAACTAAAAGCCTAACTAGAACCAGTATGCTTCTAATTACTTTTAATTTTTAAAATTTCAGGTTTCAAAAACATAGCAGCTTTTATCTTTGTTGCCATATCCACAATAATTTTTCGAATCTGTTAAAAACTGCATATGTGTTGAAGAACAGACAACTGTATAGTTCCCACGCATCTTGTTCTTTATGGCTTTGTGGATGTTCCGTTTTCCGTTGGCACCATTATCGTCGATGTTCTAAAAAGTTTTCTTTTTTTCGAGTACTAAAAATTTAAAAAATAAGTTTACTTGAGAACAAGGAAAAAACTTTTTTAGAAAACATCTTTTTTTGGAAAATTGTAATAAACTCTAGTTTAATTTATTTGGTATGCAGTAGCAACAATTTTCAGAAATTAGCTGAAATTTTCAAGTATTTTTAGATATTAATCTACTGACGGTAATTTTTTAAAATAGATATTAGTGTTATGTGTTTCAATAAAAGGAAGTCGACAATGAAGTTGCAATTATTTTCAGAGAATCACTAAAAAGTGCATTTACAGAGATCTACTGCCGTTTATCGGTGATAAAATCAGATAAACTAACTTGAGAGATAATGTTCCGTAGTTGTTCGTTAGTACACAGAAATTGATGCCTTTCATTAACAGACGCTGCGGCTAATTGATTCTTTCTACCACTGAAAATGAAGTTTAATTCTAAAAGTAAAAGAATCATATATGCAGGAGAGCGATAAAAATAAGCTTAAACAACAAGAAAAGTGTCTTTAAGGCGACATACGAAGCTTCTAATATTAGAAATTTGAAGCATTTAATCACCGTAGCAAAAATTCAAAAATTTAAATTCATTCGAAGAATTATGAATTGACCAACCGATTAGGATTTAATAATTGTATTAACGGCCTCAAATTAAGGAATCCGTTTAGTATACTACTCAGTGACGAATTTTTAAGTCCATTGAACAACGAACCAATTGTTAACAGTAGATCGTCATCGTATAAAACATTTCCTGAACTGAAAAAAAAGAACAGTTTACGAAGCAAAGACATTACATCAATTTTTCATTTATTTTTTTCGCCTCATTTTTCTGTTTTAACGCAAAATCAGCGAAGAACAGTAGTTACTGTCATATGCATAATGCATTGAGTTTTCATTATAATGGCAATTCTGAACTAAGCAGAAAAGCCATCTGAGAGTTCTAGAAACAGCACTAGATTGAAGAAATCTAGACATAAGGTTTTTTTTTACCATATCATTTATAAAAATGTTGCTTAATTCTCCAGGTTAAACAAACCTCCTAGCGCAGTGCTTCAATAAAAAAAGTAAAACATTGAAACAAACTAAACAGAAAGCAACAGTCTTGAAATAAACCAAAAAAAGTGCCGTCGTTTTGCCTATAAGAAGCAATAGAGTTTGGCACTGTAATTTATCATTAACAAAATTTTCGTGTATATTCATGAGTACTAACCGGATACCGGATGCTTTGTCATGAGCAATCTGTTCATTTTCCTCCTCTGTCAACATCGCAGATAGCTTATTCAGTATTTCTGCCTTCGATAATCGAGGGAGTTCTTTGCCTAGCAATAATAAATAGACATCATTGGAAATAGCGGGTGACTTGGAAAGCCCAATCCTCTTCACAGTTTTTTTGAAAGGAGGGCTTGAGATAGTGGTAGTTGAAAGAACTGCTTCATCAGCTGCTGGAAAAATAGGGGCTTTTGTTTGCCTGGTTTGCAGTGACACCGTTGTTCCTTGACTACTTGATGGTTGACTTGAACTAAAAGGTTCTTCGTTTGAAGCTGGTTGTAAAACGCATGGATCGGGTAGATTCCACTCGTTGAAATCAGCAGGACTTTTTGCTTGAGGTTGTGGTTCAAATGAATTTGGAGTGTTTTGAGAGATACATGGTGGATTCCATTGTCGTTCGGTGTAATAAAGCTGCGGATACCAAGAAACAGGTGGCCTCTTTCGAAATTCAAAAGGTGACACTTTGTTGTAAGGATTTACAGGAATTCCAGTTACTGATACAGCAGTAAAGAAGATCAGAAGACTTAATTCTTGCGGTATTATCATGGCATAAATTTGAACTAAAGAAACGCAGTTAGTATACGATTTGTTACAAAAGATCTTTTTGACCAGTGAACAAGTTTCTTGTCCTTGTTTCTCGTAAATTACAACAGCGATAA